ACTTTCGGCCTTCCGATTACGGGATTTGTCGGTGCGCAGGTCAGTTGGCATAGTTAGCAACACCAGTTGACTTTTTGACAGGTACCGTCGACCAAGCGCGCATTGAAGCGATTGGTGCTATTATCTCTCAGTTACATGATCTCCTTGACAAGTATCGCGAAGCCGACTACTATTGTCCGAGCGGTGCTTACTCCTTCGAATGCGGTTCAATGCTCTTTGGTGCCCTGACAAAAGGAATGGACTCGCTGGGATTGTTGATACCATATCCGGTAGCGCCGTTCTTGGGAATGAGCGTTGGAGAATTGTCCACAAATCTGCGCAGTATAAAGTCACCCATGTGGTGTTATCCAAGCACGGCCTGGTACAAGAGTCAACATCCATGCAATTTGAATGAACAGGTCAATGAAGTTGCGAATAGGATCATCGGCGATGTGAAAGGCCTCGATCTGGAGGAATTTGGCCGTGTCTTATCTGCTTGCATAGCATCGAAAGAAGAGAATGGAGCTATATAAGTATCTACTCTGGATCCATGGCTATGGAATTTACCTCTTTCACACCGTAACGGACGCTTGCATTGTGTACGAGTCGGTCGAAGGACACTAACTCGCCGGTAACGTAACCCTTCCTGTTGGTCTGTCGCTCACGCATTTACGGAAGCTAGATCGGGTACCGTCAGAGGAGCGATGCTAGCCTGCTGAACATGTCTTAGCGCCAACTCACCCAGTACGTGCTTGTAGGGGTAATACCGCGCACTCTACTTCTCACATATGGCCAAAATTCCAACAAAGCCTCTCACACGTGTTTGTGTGTGTTCTATTGTGTCCATGCACCCTATGGGTATGGGCCGTTACGATGCGCCAGCTATGAATATGAGGCTGTGGGAGATAGCTGCAAAGGTCGGGCAGAGATGTTTGTGGAAGCAGGGGAGAATATTGGGTCTGAGAGCCTCATGGAAACTATGAGCACGGGCGGCAAGGGCTCCCTGAAGCGCTGTGGCCCTTGATAAAATGTTTCCGTTTGACGATCATGTAGTTCTGGAGATCCGCTCCAATGCCCCCGTCTGACTTTCCGCACTCAGCTGAAATATGCCCCCTCCATGGAACCCTTAGCGCCCACTGCACCCACTTTCTACATGCTATCATTCATAACAAGCAGTGTGTCACTTTTTGAAGAGGACGAAAAACGGAGAGCAAGAAATTGTGTGATACCAATTTAATTAATCAACCTGTGCACTTCTGACTTGGTCCAGCTTCATATACACTTTCATCAAAATCTGCTTCCGAAGACAGCTCGTCTTCCGTGGCAGTTTGGCTGTGTATTACCGTTGTGGGTGAATTTAGCGCTTGCTCCAAGTTTGCTCCAGCGAATGTTATATACCCTTTATCCTCTTTGAACGTGCTCTCAATTGCATCGAGTTCCTGGCGCTCCAACTCGGCTCTTCTAGCTGCCAACTGCTTTCTTGTCTCTGCTAGCCTCGATTCTAACAAGTCCTTGTTTCTCTTGAGGTCCTCAATGGTAAACTGACTTTCGCGCCGCAATCTCGAAATAGAATTGATAGAGACGTCGTCCCGTCACAATATTGCTAGCGACTCACCGTCAACAACAAATTGTAAAACGCTATTCGCACTAAGGCGAATTCGGTGAACCGCAGCATGCCGGAGTTGTGTTATTGAGTCCAGTAGCTCGGGTAAAGGCTTTCCAAGATCCTCTAATTCGTTCACAGAGAATTCATCTTGATATATCAGGAATATCCTGGGCCATCGATTGAGCTCAACCGCTTCAGCACAGTCCCATCCTTCCCTTTGTAGTACGCCGCCCAATTTCTTCTGCGCAAAAGCGTAACAAGCTCTTTCAAGTATGTGCTGGACCCTTACTAAAAGTCGGTGCTGAACGGCAAATGGTAGGTAAACCGGATACAGCGATGGTGCAGAGCTGCTGGGTTGCGAGTACATACGTTTTCCAGACTGAATTTCCACACCTTGAGAAGCTACCTTGCCTTAGCAAGCACGTCGACATGTACACATGCCTATGTTTACTTGCCTTTCTCTTTTACCTTTGACGTTCCACTGACTCCATGTCCATGCTCATGTTCATTTACTGCAGTTGAAACCTGGCGACCTTCAGCTGCACACTGGATAGCATCGGCCTCGGTTTTTGCTGCTTCGGACTCTGAGATCGCCCGTTCTGCGCTCTGGCTGGGAGAAACTTCAAATACCTCCGGAAAACGGATTTTTGCTTTTAGTGTTGAACTGAAAACCTGTTGTTCAAGAAGGACTTTTGCTACATTGCAAAGATTGTCCATGTTATGCTCCTGTATGAGATTGTTGATGTTGGTTTCATGGTGATGTTTCTGAATAAGTTCATGGATTTTCTTTGCTTTGCGAATATGAGCATCTGCTCCCTTAAAGACACCTCTCAAAGCTAAATATACCAGCCTTTCGTCAGGGGAGTTCTTAGCCATGGTTTGTATGGTATTGATCCGTGGACAGAGGTGATCGCTCGGGGGTTTAGACTCGGGGATCGTGACAACAACAGAACTAAAGAGTTATCCTGGAACGCTATCGTGCAGATGTGTAACACTTAATTATTAACGTAGCATTTCCGTAATGACGTAACAGCCTAGTTTAAAGTTTGCGAGTTGAAACTTGTTGAGTTGCACGTGATGGATCCTCACGGCTGCAAGTCACCCCACTCACTTCTGAACTGGTGATTTACTTTACCCCGCGTTTGAATGTTTCAGCGCCATTACACTAGTTACATGCCAACATGTGGGGTAAACGCACTTGCCCAATTTCTGTTTTAACCCACGGTCGTATAAATTTTCACTGATTCGTGACCCGCTTTTTTGGTGAGGTCTGGCTTACATCAGCGGACACGAATTACGTCGATACCTGGTGCTGTTTGTGAATATATATATATAAAGATAGGAGAGAAGAGAATGCGAGGCAAATGGGCAGCTGTGGTTGGCGTTGGCAACAACTGGCAGAGGTGTGGCGTTGTGGCAGTTAGGCACTGCCACATCCGCTAGCCATGTGTTTTGGCCATGATGATATTGCCTCGTGAATGAAAAAGCGCTAATCTAGATCAGCAACTTGATCTTTCTATGCCGTAATAGGTTAGAGCTCGGAAGCGGGAGCGCTCGAGCAGGCCACCGCGGGAACTTATTCCAGATACTTGGCAACACCACCACAACCACTGATGCCATTTCTTGTGGAAAAACTCAACGCCTCTCGCACAAGAATGTGGCCGGTGCGGGTCGGCCGTCCTCCCTACCACTTCCTAGAACAGCACTATTAATTACTTTGCTTTGTATTGGACTGACCATAGAGTTGAAACGGCATGGGAATAAAGTTATGTCCCATAGAAAGAGATGCGACATAAGTCTTCTCGTATCAATTATTTCTTATATTGTCTACATGCTAAGGACGTGCTCTAACAATATAGCCCTTCGCAAAGGGCGCCTCGGAATAAAGCTGCACGGACATGACTTCACATACAGTCGATTGATCACGAAACTTGGCAATGTAGACAATGCCTCCAGCTATTTTAACTCAACTTTTTCTATCTAGTGGAGAGCAATCCAACAGTTACCTAACAGAATCACATGCAGAAGCTTTCACGGTCCTATTTTCAGCGGGCTTGCACATGCCACTAAAGTATTTGTTATTGCGGTTGTGCATGTCGCAACATTACTAGATACAGAAATGGGTTCCCCGTGATTCTAGTAGATGTTGTTCTTAACCTTCATTTCTATTGGAACTTCAGTGCAAGCGCAGCGGGTTTAGGGAATGCCTTGTGGACAAGTGATAGCGCGATCACGAAACTATCCAGCTCCTCATCCTTTATCGCCTACGTTATAAGCTTGCCTTCGCACCTATGCTGTATATTTAATCTACAACTTTTCGCTGTCTTATCTATTCACGAAAAGCAGTTATTCAATTTGTCTTCGTTATAATGGTTAATATAACTGAGCACCCTGTGGAAGACATTCTTCAATACCAATTCATAAATCGCGACTTGCTTAGCGAAGCATTACTTGCCGCAGGAGCATCAGTTTCGAACAAAGGCATACAGGGTAACGCTAAGGGGAACAAACGTCTCGCTCTCCTTAGAGACTCTGTCTTGCAGGAGGTTGTTCTCAAGCCTTAGTATAGCTGTGGAGAAAGTACTAGTAGATGCACACGACTGAGCACTTGTTGGAAAATGTGAACATATGAGGAGGAGGTTAAGGAAGTAGTTGGTTGATTAATAGGGTCTATCGAAGAGAGCGAATATATATCCTTATGTTACATAATTAGTGATGAAACGCACTATCTCTACGTAGGCGTAGATGCTGACAGAAAAGACTAACCTTGCCAGAGGAGGGCTCGAACAAGGTAAAGAAGCTGTGTAGGAATAAGAAGTTGAACCAAGTAGGTCAAGAAAGTGGCTTGGTAAAATATATTGAAAACAATCCGTGCCAGAAAGGTCAGATATCATAAGAGACTGCTGCGTCGACAGTAGAGGCACTAGTAGGAGCAGTTTATCTAGATTGTGGAAACAATATGACAACAGTAAAAGAGGTTCTTAAAGCTATTAGCCTTTTCCAGGACACCTAAGGAGGGATTGCGATCATTGCAAATGAGAATGAAGAGGATGTTCAACTTAATTGTGATGAGTAACTAGATTATGTTAGTTAACGATGCAATGATGGTATAACACTTTAGCTTTAGTCTTTTCTTAGCACACAGTATTAGGCAAAGAGGTTCTTGCAACCCTAGTCTATGCGATGAAATGTCAGATTAGCTGTATAAGTTAGTCGTATGCAAGACTGATTTGGTGTAGCGTTGTGGATTAAAAGCGGTCGATTGAGGTTAACGCCTCCACAATGACTTCTAGTAAATCAGTTTCCTATACGCTAGCTGCGAATAATGTATATCTTTTCCTCGGATATATGATTCCACCCTTTCGAACCGCATCTTTGGGTCCAAAGGAACCCCTGCACACGACTCTCGGATATTTCAGGAATGGTAAAAGCCAAACCCTGAATTTCCCCTCTTAGATTGCTTACACCTTGCTTGAAGGGCTTCCATTGGTTGACTCGGGCCACATGATGTGCAGTGCCCGTACAAAGGATTACTAATATAGCTTCTTAGTAGGTCTTTTGTGAACTCTGGAACTTCGGTGAGAATCGTTTCATACATATCTGCGACATCCTTATTACTGAGCATTTTCGGTAAATGTTTTTGGATTATCATGCATGCAATATCGCGCAACCGTCTGACACTACTAGGCGTGGTTGTGTATATGTTGGGAATCGACGTCAAGAACTCTAGAGGCGCCCAGGATAATGTGCATTTAGAAAGGTACTTCTCCGCAGCTAAGGTATCTAAGTTCGAAATGTCGTACTGATCCGCTAGTGAAAACATTTGGGCATGGAGTTGGAGCGGAGATATGTCTGCTCTATCTGGTAGGTCGTCATTATAATTCGCGTTGTAGAGGAAGCTGACTATTCGCTTGAGCTTAAGGTGGGGCACGTGCCCCATTTGAATGACGCCAGTAAATTCCTCCTAATCATCACGTTAACAACGAACAGCACGCTTACGATGTCCTTACCTCAAACCCTCTAGTGCACGCCTTGTGAAGGACTTTGGACTGGGCACAAACAACAACGCGGTGAACATCGAAGCTTTCGATGTCATGGTAAAAGACAAGGTCAGTGAACTCGCCTCGGTCTCGCAATCTGCGAACGCTTAGCGCAACGACGAATACGAAGACCTGACTGCGTACGCCGAGATATATGAAACAAGTTGTGCGCTTGCAGCACGAGTGTCTGTGGGCATCTGGTATATTAGAGATGATTACGTCTTAGACAAACTTCTGAGAATGTAAGACTGTGATAGTGAATGCGCAAATGATTAAAGAACATCCGTATCATCAGCTGAATGCGTTAGTAATGTAATCCGCACAACTACCCCGCACATTTGTAGAGCTGATGATCGACCCTACAGTGATTGGTCGATTCCGAGTAGGGCGAAAGCGTGCTATAACCTAAAATGACTGCTATCTTCCCTGGAAATTGGGTGCTGGGTTGATTTGCAATAATATCTGATCACCCTCAGCGCAGTTGAAGCTGTTTCGAGTGGGGTACCCTAGGATAAAGGATGTGAGTGGTCGAACTATAAGGGTGGTGTGCGCACTACTATGACTTACGCCAGCATCAGTCATAGGTTTTTGGCCTCTCGCAAGCTTTCTACACTACGGCAATGCACTGCAGGCGGCTTCAGAAAGAGGCTAAGAGGTGGTGGTGAGCCTGCTGGTGGACAAGGGCGCCGACGTCAACGCCTAGGGTGGAGCGTACGGCAACGCACTCTAGACGGCTTTATATGGAGGCCACGAGGCGGTGGTGAGGCTGCTGCGCGACAAAGGTGCTGTCACGTAAGAGCTGAGCGCGGAAGATTTCTCGAGGACGCAATATATTATAATTAACGTAGGTCACAAGCGAGTGGAACCTTCAAGCGAGTGGAACCTTTTTGCCAAGACCCAACCAAACCTGCAACTACGCACTACTATGCAGCACCGTTAAGAACAGTAATTAATATTCGTAGTAGCCTAATTTATTTAGAAATATCTACTACATCCTACGTACATGTGCGCGAGTTGTGTCCTACCTCGCCGCAGCGTCCACAGCGTCTTTGAGACGATTCGCCTACTTCAACGCGCGCCTTCTTCTTTGCCTTCTTCCCATCGCTGCGCGCCCCAAACTCCTTTAGAGTTGTTAGTCGAAGACCTTCCTCTACTATAAGGGTCCCCTCCTTCTGTACTCGCTTTCTTTTATACGATTTACGTCGCGTGGCGGCCTCGTTAGCTGCTTCAAGCTCAGCGATACGCTTTTGCGACAACACTAAAGCATGCGCCATCATCTCTGCGCCTTTAGAGAGGCTTTTCACCGCCTTAACTATCGAAGTAGGCGAGCTATCTACATGCCTCTGAAACCTCTCGAGAACTAGCTTTGTTTGAGACCCTAGTTCTACGGTATTGCTTGGGGTTTGCGACTGCCAGGGACCGTCCTCGACGGTGGGTAACGGTGGAGTACGCAGGCGGACGTCGAGCGTCGATATAACAGCCTCTGGATCGAATGGAACTAAGCCAGCGCCTTGAAAGCCTCCTAGGATATTGCTTCTTGTAATAGAGGCCTTGTAGGCGGCAATAAAGCACGGTAAGAACTCTGTTTTCGTGATGTGGGTGATCTTGTTGCGCATCAGCTTCTCGGCTTGGCACCCATACGCCTTCTTTAGCGGCGCAAAACAGCCAACGTCAAGCGGCTGCAGTAGGTGCGAGGAGTGTGGAGGCATACAGAGGGTGATAATCTTCTTCTCCTCGCAGAGCTGGTGGAAATCGATCGAGCTGTGGCTCTCGTGACCGTCGAGAACTAGCAGGCGGTGGCTGCCAACAACCCTCCCCTTTGTATGCCTGTCAAAGTGCTCTAGCCACTCGATACCAAGCTTGTTTGTCGTCCAGCCGTTCTCAGAGACTGCAATTACCCAGTCTCGAGGCAGGCTCTCCTCCTTGTACCAGGCGGAGAGGTGGTGCTTGCCTTGGAAGATGATGAAGGGTGGAATCGCCCACCCCGTCGCGTTCATGCCCTGGATAGCTGTAACCCACTCCCGGTTGCCCTGCTGCACTGTCTTTGGCCGTCCTCGACGGTCTGCTGCTGTGACTACCGCGCCAGTCGATATCACGCCCATCATGAAGCCAGTCTCATCAAAGTTGTACGTGTCTTCGTCCTGGATGCCGTACTTAGCCTTCGTATTCTGTACTAGGCGGAACCAGCCTTGTATAACCTCAGGATCCTCGCAGAGGGCTCTACTATAGTCGTACTTTCGATTGAACTTGACTTTGAGCTCAGGGCGACGCTTTACAAAGTTTGCAGCCTACCTCTTGCCAACTGGCTTCTGATTGCGGATCTTAAGCAAAGAATTAGCTATCTCTTCAACGTCAGCAAGCCTAGGCGGATATCCTTGCTCTATTAGCTTAAGAACATGCCTAACAATCGCTACCTCTTCAGATCCTCGAAGAGCCATTGATTTAGGCTCACAATCGCGTCGATAGGGCGTTCCAGCGAGTCGTCTTCGTAGTGTGCTTTCAGAGACGTTGTAGGTAGCTGCAGCGCGTCGCGGCTTAAATGTCGCGTCTTGTTGGATAGCCTGCAAGGCAAGCTGTATATTTCTTTCGTTTGAGGTCTTTCTAACATTGTTGCGTTGAGACATTACAGGTAGGCTTCAAGTTTGGTTGGGTCTTGGCAAAAAGGTTCCACTCGCTTGAAGGTTCCACTCGCTTGTGACCTACGTTATCAATCTACAATATAATCACTACATCTAGACTTGTCAACAATCAAGTCAATCCGACACCTCCGGATGAGTGACTAAGGCAAAAGGGTAGGGGTTAAACCTATGTAGGCAACTGCTTGGCTTCAATAGGAAGTCAATCAAGTCAAGCTGCGTCTTTTAAGCCCTACTTAATTGATTGTTGACAACTGTGACTACATCATTTCAAATCAAGCGACCTGCTCATCTGTGCTCAGTTTTGTTTGGTATCAGGCCAAAAAAGCACAACAAATGTCAGCATGCTTTACGAGCGATGTGTAGCGCAGTTCCGCCACCACAAGCAGGGACGATGGCCGACCCGCACCGGCCACACGCTCAAGGTTAGTGCCGAAGCGGGTCGGCCATCCTCCTTGCTAGTAGTGGCAAGATCGCGTACCACCGGAGTACCTGTTATAGCTGTATCCTGCTTATAAATAAGCTTCTAGAACGTACTAGTTACTATATATTTACTAAAGGGAGCCTAAAGGTACTATAAGCTCGAACTAAAGGCCTATAGTAAGATTCTATAGAGTTTAATAAAATTAGATTAGACTAATTGTATCGCATTAGTTTTCGCAGGAGACTTTACGGTAAAGCGACTATAATACTAGAGCTTATATATAACTGCGTACCGTTACGGGGTTATAACCGAAGGTTAGAGATTATAGGGCAGGTATTACAGCGATATCTAGAGGGGATTAAGGTGGTTACTAATCTCTACTAACATCCCTCAGCAGGTAGCGAGAAGTACTCCGTAGCGAGAAAATCATAGGTACGCCCAGATACAGGAACCTGACATCGCCCGTCAGCGTAGACCGCCCGTACGGTCGCTCAAATCCAGGGAGCGCGTCATACCATTAGCCTCGATACCGTCCACTGGCCTTAGCCGGCCTAAGCCGCCCGTACGGTAACAAGGAGTTACAACGCGTTTCCTCAGCTTTCGCCGCGGTTACAGATATATTATTGATTTGTTGCGATGCTTTAATATGAACAAAATAGAAGCACTTTCAGCTCGCCAATCCCTTGTGAACCCGCTTTGCAAAGCATTTCAGTAGTCGTTGTCTTGCCCTCGAATAGCAACATAACAGCGTGGCAATGGCCCTATAACGGGCTTCTAGATCAAGCGAGTTGTTCAGCTGTAGGCCCTGGGATATTGCCAGACACTAGAGAGTGGGTTGTAGTCAAGATCTTGCGAACGGGAACTGTATCGAGAGCCTGAAAGGGGGAACCGCGATGCACACCCACAGTGCTGAAGCCGGTTTTGGGCACGATTTCGATGCAGAATATGTCGATAGATAATGAGATAAATATTTCAAGCAGCACCACTCCTCATGTAGTCCCATTTTGTCGTCTAAGCAGTAATCACAGCTACTAGCACGTGCAAAGGCAAGACGAGCTACAAACAACTACTAGAAGCTATCTAAAACCCTCCAAAAAATTAACGAGGCTGTGCTAAGCATACGACACAGATATATGCTTTATAGCGTATCGCAATGGCTGCTTCAATAGACTTGGAGTGGTCGATGAGACGTTAGAGCATGAACTCACCCGTCCGCGCAAACCTCCCACACGGGATGCCAGATGCGAGTTCTCGTAAGGGACGAGGTCTCATACGGGACAAACTCCCGCACGGGAGGCTAGATCCTGTCTTCTGGGCGCCCGTAAGGGATGGCTTCCCGCACGGGATGCCAAAACTTGTTCTCTAGGCGCCCGTGTTCTTTAAGCTCCCGCATTCTCTAGGCTCCCGTACGGGCTTCTCAATCTTTCGACGTAACCATCGGTTCCATCACCCTTGATCCTAAAGTGGTCGTGCATCCTAACCGCCCGCAGACGCAGATCGCCCGTAGGGGATGCCCAGTGAGCGGACAGACGCTGGCTAAGAATAAACCCAGTGAGCGGACAGACGCTGGCTGAGAGCAAACCTAATGAAAGGGCATACGCTGGCTGAGAATAACCTTAGTGAGTGGACACACGCTGGCTGAGAGCAAACCAAGTGAGCGGAAACACGCTGGCTGAGAGCAAACCCAGTGAGCGGACAGACGCTGGCTGAGAATAAACCTAGTGAGCGGACACACGCCGGCTGGGAGCAAACCCAATGAAAGGGCATACGCCGACCAGGGACAAACCGAGCAAGAGTGTACACGCTGACTGGGAGCAGACTTAGTAAGCGTGTACACACTGGCTGAGAACAGACCTAGCAATGCGTGAAGGGGTCTAGTTGGTTGCTTGAACGAGCATAGAGATGGCATTGACTTTGCGTCTCTGGACCGGGACCAGGCGGATTATGGCCATATCCTGGTGTCCTATAATTGGCTATCCCTTCTTCCGCCGGATTGTGCCTTCGTCCGTGCGTGGCCGATCGGACTGTTTATTTTAGACCATTTATAGCTTCCGATTGGCCACGCACGGACGAAGGCACAATCCGGCGGAAGAAGGGAAAACTAGCCGGGTTAAACTTGATCCATGATGAAAGCCTGGTCATCGACTAACCAATCAAGTGATTGGATGTTTGGAATGGGACCAAAAATGGTCCCCTTAGGATACTCATTTGGAATACATCCCATAATGGAATGCAAGAGTGCTTGAACAGCTTTACAATACTTGGCCGCAACAAAGAGACTATGGAGAGTATTGTGCCGTGAGCAGCTCTCAAAACATATTCTTAAGTCAACGAAAACTTCATGGAAGTGAGCCAATTATAATTTAGTAGGGGTAGTGACTAGAGCGGGCAGTCAACGGCCTTAAGGAATCGATCAACATTGCTAACTACTAATACTAAATAATCTTTATCACGTGTAAGTATATTAATAGAGAGATAACATCCATCCCTGCATGCCGAAAATCCCTGCGTGGAGAAAAAAATGACCGGTACTTCGACTTCAACTATATCAAATTCTCAGCAAATATCGATATCTGCCAAATTTTTATATCCCCCATGTTCTTTAGTCATCTATGAACAATTCATATCAATCTCACTTAATTTTTTCTTCACGTTACTGCTCTAGCGCCTGTTCTGTAAGATATCTTCTTTTATACTAAAATAGAGTTCTTCTAATATATCTCTGCTATCAAGCTATTCCTACCTCTAAAACTAATAAAAAGATTATACCTAAGCTTTAGAATCTTAATTCTAGGCTAGCAATCGTTATAAGCCTTATAGCTGCTGTTACGCGCAGATTAATGCATGGCTACAAGGTAGAAAGATACTTTAGATCGCGGCTCTTGACGAATTAGGCTAGATTAAGACAATCCCGCACTATCCAAGATATAACTATCTGCGTTAGCGGCGTATTTTTGCCTTAGGCGCTAAGGCTACAACTTATAGCCTTGTGAACTGTGGCTTTCATCACGGCGATACTCATGTGCCTACCCCTTAGAAGACTTCAAGAATCGGTCGACGCATTTCTGGTTGATCGATCTCACCCCAGACAGTGCTGGTATCGACAATGCAGTCCAGGCGTTCTTCCGCAACGATCCGTATTATCCAAGGCCGCTTGCCACTCTTGCAAAGGACCAGAGGCTCTGGTCATCGTTCCAAAATCGATATCTGGAAACGAGCAACTGTTGTGTTGACGCGACCACGAAAGACCTTCCCCGAAAATTCATCGACGGTGTGGTAGAGGAGCACAGGAAGCGCATGGAGCGAAAGAACTAAATAGGAAGTTCACTCATCGCACAATGCTGGGCGAATTGACGATACAAATGTAGCTTTGAAATTGAAACTGGAGGACGACAGCTCATTAATTGCAATGGCGTGATCGGTTCACTTTCATTCCACCTGAGCTTGTAACTACCTAGCATAAATAATTCTACAGCAAAAGGAAACACAAGTTGAAGTAAATGAATAAAAGACATCCTCACAATCTGACAGCACGTGCCCGCTAACCATTAGCCGCAAAGTTCGCCAGGGCGTCTGCAAAGCCATCGCAAAATCCTTGGAGGTCTGCTCGAGGTATATCTTCCGGGAAGGGGACCACGCCGAACTTCACCGCCAGACTCCTTCTCGCTTTCCACACCAGCGGACGGTCGAGCGCCTTCGCAGTCATGTAGTCCATGCAGGTCGACGATGCCACGGTGGCGCTGCCCTGGAAGCGGGCCTGGAAGAAATCCTTGAACCGGCTGGCGTACCCGCCCTGCATCACAGCCGCGAAGCCGTCAGCTATCGAGGGATAGGCGCCGTTCTTAACCCCCATCGCGATGTTGTACCCGTCCGCATCACCACGCAGGTCGGCCATGGGGAAGGTGCTCTGCGTCTGCTGCCCGAGATTCTGCGCGCAGAAGTCCTTGCCGGACGCGACTCCGCTCCGCTTCCAGTCGCCGTAGAAGGTGAAGAGGTCGCCGAGCCACCCCGTAATGTCTCCCGCGCTGTTCTCTCCGTTCACGTAAACGCTCCCCATCGTCGCGAAGGTGTGGGCAAAGTCCATGACGATGGCCGGCGACGCAGGATCCGTGTACCCGTGGTACATCTGCACGCCTTCCGCCTCGGCGAACATGATCCACAGCGGCGATATGCCCCCGACCAGCAGCGTCCACTGGTAGTCGTTGTAGTTGTTGTGTCGGAGATAGTCCGTCGTGAGTATGTTTGGGTCGCGGGCAGAAAATGGGGAGATCGCAGCGGTGTCCTGTATCTGCTTGATGTACTTGACGGCGGCGGCGACGTCCAGATCCTGGTCCTCGATGATCATGAGGTAGAACTTCCTGGCGAGCGCGAGCGCGTGGGCATCCGCCGCGTTCTGGAGCACGTCGCTGCCGGCCGCTCCGTCGGCAACTTTCTTCTGGATGTCGGTGTCGATGGCCTTGACGATAGCCTTGGAGCATCCTTCCTGGGAGCCGATCGCGGCCCTGAGTGCGCCTCGATGCACCTCCGTCTCCAGGACGTTGAGGATCCGTACGTAGTCCATGCCCTCCAGCGAGCAGATGTCGTTCTGCACGTAGCACGTGTACAGGCTGTCGGAGCCAGCGAACATGACCGCGTCGCAAGTCGTGTCGCAGTTCAGGAAGGGTACGAGTGCCTCCTGCAGACACTGCTCGGTGTTCGTCACCCAGGCCTTCCCGACCGTGCTGAACTCGTCGATGTTGTTCTGGAATCGGTAGCATGCAAGCTCGCCGTACGCGATAGGGTATCCGGAGCTTCCGCACTTCAAGGTCTCCTCGGCACAGGACCGGTAGAAGGTGCAGCTGTTGGCCGGCGGATTCTTGCAGGCGTCCTGGCATTTTGCCAGGTCTGGGCAGTCGTCGCAGGAAGCGCACTTGTCGCATACTCCCACCTTCCGCACCACAAGTTGAGACTGGTACAGCTCGTCGGCGACGTTCGACACGGCCACCATGAACTCGACGTACTGGGCGGCATCCGCCAAGGCCATCTGAGTGGTGAACTCCTTGGTCGATCCTGCCGCATCGAAAGCCCCGAGGCCTAGCTCGTTCATGCTGTGGGTGACGGTCGTCGAAGACTCATCGTCCGCGCGGATCACGATGCTGAAGTAGTCGTTGAATTGGGTGCCGAAGAAGCCGCCAGGCACCTCCTCCGTCTGAAACTGGTACTTCAGGTACACCAGCGTCGCTCCCTCCGCGAGGTCGAAAGACTGATATGCTGTCTGAACATCGGGGGAGAAGTTTGTGCTGACAACCAACCCGGTGTCTCTCTTTACGAGACGACCGTCGCGTTTCGTGATGGTCTTCGTGGTGCCTCCCGTCCAACCTGATGTTCCATTATCGACGTCAAACCCTCCTGCTCCGGCAATAGGGTGATGCAGCGGAAGAAGCTTCATATTCACCGTTGCCACCAGTCCACCAGCCAGGCTACCGACAGCGACCTTGTTTTCGGAGCCGTCGGCCTTCAGGCTGATTGTCGTGCTAGGAACGTTTTTGAACAGGGCAGTACCGTCGGGGTCGGTCACCGCGGTCTCTCCAATCCCTAAGAAGGTTGTCGTGTTTGCTAGGACGGCTACCCCTACGGCCGGACTTCCGAGATCGTCCTGCACAACCACCTTCAGCGTGGCACTGCCGAACAGCAACTGGAAAGATTGAATTATGGGCCATCCAGAAGTCTCCAGGGCGTAGATTGTGAGCATCACATAGCCTGTAAGTAGTTTGGATGTCAATCCTGGGACGTCGATGCTGGTTGAAGAATTTGAAGTTCCGATGACCGGTTTCCAGTTTGCAAAGACGGTGTAATTTGTAACATCCAGACTTCCGCAGGTGAGATTGAGACTGAAACCCTGCCCTATTGGGTTGAAGGAGGCTTCTGACACCCCAGATAGGATGAATTTAGGCTCACATACGCTTGGAGAGGTTGGGGTTGGAGGCGCAGTCGAGCTATTGGAAACGACAGAAGATTTGCTGGAGGAGTAGGAAGAGGCACTCAGTGTGACCCCAGAATGTTCAGTATCATGACAATTTGTTGTCGTTGTTTGGGTATGGGGAATGTAAACTCCTGTTGGGGTTGGATCCGAGGAAGATATGGTAGCATCTGGATAAGAAGTGGTGCTGTAACCAGAAGCGGTGTTGGCAAGATCGGAAGAAGACTGAAGGAATTCCGGTGCCGCTTCTGGTTCATACTTTGTCAATAAAGGATCGTCCCGTACCCGCACAATATTTATGTCTCCATGTGCAAAGATCAGAATACTAAGAATTGATAAAACGAGAAGAAGAGAGAAGAGGCCCATGTTCACGGCGAGCACTACGCGAGAGAGTGAACAAGAGTGAAACAACAAGGGGCAGAAGAGGGGAATGTCAATTTAAAGCATGAATTGGATAATGTCCTGTATTCAGCGTGGCACAGAGTTTGGTAATACAAAACGGTGCTTTCCAACTGTTTGCCTAGTCATGGAGTGAACATCGCACCACAAAAATTCCAGCAGACCGCGCATATTCTCTTATGGGGATTCTCGGCGTCAGTTTGTCCCCGGTTGGAGGTGAAAGTCCAGCTGAAGCGATGAAACCAGACTTGCCTATTGTGATATCACTCTAGCACTTTAGCACAATCAGGCTGTCCCGCACTAGCTAGAGCCTGGCTGGTGGCTCAGCTGGTCCAATCAGTAGCCCCGGCTAGACTGCTTAGTAAACCAGCTTCAGCTGCTCCAGCTGGGAGCAGATTATCCTAGCCAATCAGCGAAGGGTACTATTGCGCTGATCTCGGCTGATATCACTTTTGCTATCCTGATATCACGATAGGCAAGTCTGGATGAAACGAATCACCAACGAGGTCAATAAGCAGAATAAGTGTATCCAAGACATGCGTCAGACAGATCCGCGCGACGACAAGAAGCGTATAGTGAATACAAAAGGCGGTCTGATCGAAGGCTCTTATCGCTGGATATTCAACAATGCTACCTTCCAGCAATGGCAACAGCGCCCAGACAGCCGATTGCTGTGGGTCAAAGGTGACCCTGGCAAGGGAAAGACGATGCTGCTGTGTGGCATCATTGACGAGCTGCAAAACTCGACGCCGAAGTCTACCCTTCTGTCGTACTTCTTCTACCAAGCGACCAACTCGCGCATCAACAGCGCCACGGCCGTGCTACGAGGGCTATTATACATGCTCGTGAAGCAGCAACCGTCGCTTATATCGCACGTCCGCAAGAAGCACGATTACGCCGGCAAAAGCTTGTTCGAAGACGCAAACGCCTAGATAGCCTTGATAGAGATCTTCATAGATGTGCTACGAGACCTAAGTCTGCGCCTAACATATCTAATTATCAACGCACTAGATGAATGCGTTACTAATCTACCGAAACTGTTAGAGTTTGTCGCAAAGCAGTCATCTATGTCTTCCCGCGTCAAGTGGATTGTTTCTAGCCGCAACTAGCCAGATATTAAAGCACAGCTAGAGCGGGCAGGACACAAAGTAAGACTAAGTCTTAAGTGTAAGGGGCTACGCCTAAGTACCACAAGAGGCTACGCCGAAGAACTTCCCGCTTATCTATCTTTGTATCAGCGTACGGAGGATAAATACCGTACGAGGAGGACGCTACTCTTCTTTTCCTTATCCTTTGTGAGGAGTAGTTGGGCAGGCACTGAGATATCGGTATAGGCTTGTATTAAGACGAATCCTTGAGGAGCTATCAAGCCTCTCAGAGGGATGATATATACCTACGTCACGTGATTGTGGCTGGTGTGATCCGACGGTGCCCCGAAGGGTTCCTGGTGGCTCACCAGTCTGTGGCTGGAATCCTGTGGTGATAGAACATCGTGACACGCACACGGGTGCTGACGCAGATATTGCGTGAGCCCTTTGCGCAGCTCCTTGGAAACGCCGTGCTTCCTGTCTAGGTGGGTTGTGACCTGAGAGTTCGCTGTGGCTAGAGTGTATTTGCACTGGCGACATATCAGGGCTCGACTCTCGCCATCCACATATAGATCGCAGCGCGCCAGAAGGGTTGGTGTGGAATCACGGTTCGTGATGACGGGAATTGTAACACGACAAGCAAGCAAGAGGGGCAGGACTCGCAACAACGGGACATCAGGAAGCGAGCTGTAAAAGGAGGAGCGATGTGGTAGTATATAAGGGGTGTTCGTCGCCGTATCGACAGTGTGACATACGCGTGCACGGCCGTTTTTCGGAAATTTGACCAAGTTTCTGGATCGGCACGGACATTTTGTGGAAGTTTGAACAAGGTTCCGGGGACCATTAGCCCAGCAGTAGTAGTAGTAGGACCTGGTGGTTTTCGGAGGGCTGGCTCGTGCGGCGATCGCAATTTCCTGAAAGGGTTTAGTTTTGGAATAGGGAGTGTTCCGTGTCGGCATACTTGAGTGGGCTTTCCCGATCCTTTATCCACCAATCACGTATAGACATTCAACTTCTAAGCCTTGACTAACAGACTTGGAATACCAATCTTCGATGCTGTGGAAATTGCATGAAACTTAAGTGCAAGCGCGGGTGATTAAATGCTGATGAATAAGAGCCTCATTGCTGACGTGCAGCTGTCTAAGGCGGATGCCGGCTAGCTCCGCATGCACGACAGCCTCAACCGAGGCGAACGAACATGGGGTAATGACGTTGGCAGCCGCGCCCTGCACAAATCTACATGCCCTACAGCCGATTATCAAAGTCTAGTTCAGGAAGAAATAATATCAGTCGCATTCCATGCATGAGGTCTTAACACCGACGATGTCGATGGTGATCCACTTCGCACATGCACGATGGGCAGACTAGGGTCGGTGATGCGGGGCCACACTGTGTAAGTAACCAATTCAGTTGTAGTGAGGTTGAAAGTCATCGGGTTCGCTTGTTAGTCATGGCTAATCACAGCATTGGAGTCTGCAGAATTCCTGAATGGAGATGGTAGTCGACGGGTTGCACAATGCGGAATTTCACCGCAAACTCCACCCAAACGCCGCCTTGAACCACGCTGTACGAGACTGGGTTCGCGGACCAAGGCCCAAGAGACATGGGCATGGAGCCGTGGATTCATCGACCGGGCTTTGAGCAGGGCATATGAGTTAAGAGGCGGATGGGGATAGGACTTTGTAGAGGTATAAAGAGACCTCAGGCCTGCCTCTCAGTAATAGACCATCGCATCGCCATCCAATACTTCTCCGACTTCAGTAGCACAGGCTGACTATTCGATTTCATCGCCAACCTTCAAGATGAAGTTCTGTTCTACTATCGCCCTTGCGGCTCTCACGCTTCTCAACACCGTTCGCGGTGATGGTACGATTGTTCAGTCAAACATGTCTTCCAGAGACTAACATACTTCAGCTGTACCATGGGAGCGTATCGACAAAGACGACGCAGTATGTCATCATCCCACACTCTAACCGATCTTCTCATCTAACGTCCTATGTAGCTTCTCCTGATTCTCGACTTGCAAGTCGGCCTTTTCCAACTCGCTAGAGACTGGGACCCAACCCTCTACAAGCAAAACATCATGGCCCACGCAGAGATTGGCAAGGTCTTCGACATCCCCGTCATTCTGAGCACGTCTGCCGACCAAGGTCCCAACGGTCCTTTGCCCAAGGAAATGTTGGAGATGTACCCCGACGCGCCTCTCATCAGGCGTCAGGGCGAGGTCAAGTAAGTCATCTTTATCGTCGTCAGCTCTTCCTCCTACCCACCTACTTCAAGTGTCCGTCACTGCGCAATCAGCTAACACACACCCAGCGCCTGGGACAACAAGGACTTCAAGGCCGCTATCCGCGCCGCAAACAAGACCCAAATCATCGTCGGCGGCATCACCACAGACGTCTGCACCACTTTCCTCGCCCTCTCCCTCCGCGCAGAGGGCTACTCCGTTTTCGCCAACGTCGAAGCCAGCGGTACTTACACGGAGCTTGTGCGCGACACAGCAAACGCACGCATGCAGCAGGCGGGTGTGCAGCTCGTCTCGCTCTTCTCCATTGTGTGTGATCTAATAAGGGACTGGCGCAACACCCCTGGTGCTAAGGAGTTGCTCCCGTACTTGGACAAGTACTTGCCGGTTTATGGAATGGTGGCTCGAGGACATGCTGCGGCTGTGGAGAATGGAACGGTTCAACCGGGGCAGATTGGACTCATATCTAGCAACAATGGGTCGATTGTTTTGTAGAGTAGTGTGAGTCCTCAGATGGTGGATAGTATTCGTGGATAGAAGGCGGATACTACGGGTGGGAAGCGAATGAGACGAGTCAGCGGAGAGGGAAAAAAGTGATGTCAGATTAGCCTGCGAGTGACATCAATATCAGATATGTCAAAGCATGAACATCCATTACCTAGGCGATCGTTGCGAGGGTTCGTGACGCTTTGGCGTGGGTCGAAGTTAAAAGGGCAACTCCAGGCGAGGCAGTGGGCAGGCACACGCGAAGATACCTCAAGATCAGCGAGACAATCCATCCCGTTCCCCACCACCAACAGATATTGTAAGCATGGGGTGGCACTAGGATTGGGTCCCATGTATGAGTGTATTGTTCTGTGTATGTACATGTGATGTGGTCCTAGGCTTACATCTTGCATCTCAATGTTCACTAGAGTCAGTTCACAGAGCTAACATGTCCACAGAATCACGAGCTAGACTTTGGTGTCCCGCACTTTCAAAAGCTAGCCGAGAAGAGCAACTTCCCTTGGTTGTGCGCAAACGTGCTTGATCCCGCATTGGGGAAAGACGTGCCCCTAGGTAGATCCAAAAAGACAGCCTTGGTCAACATCAACGGTGTCAAAATCGGACTAATCGGGCTTGTCGAGCAGGAGTGGCTTTCTACCGTCAATGTGCTCCCGCCTGATCTCATCTTCCGCTCCGCCTCGGCGACAGCGGAAGCACTGGTGCCCGCACTAAAAGCCCAGGGCGCGGACATAATCATTGCGCTCACACACCAGCGGGAGCCCAACGACATCAAGTTGGCACAAGAATGCGTCGGCTTGATCGACCTAATCCTGGCGGGCCACGACCACTTCTGCAGTGACATTCTTGTCAACGGCGTGCGCATCGTACGTAGCGGCACCGACTTCATACAGCTAAGTTACATCGAGGTTCGGAAGAGTAATTCACGCAAAATGTCGGGAGGAGATTAGGCCATCAAAGTTTCCAGGGAAGACATTACCGCAGCAATTCCTGAAGACTGTAATAGGCTAGAAGCCTCGTTGTAGTGTTGCTCCTTGGTGAAACCTTCGGTACTTCGTCTGAGAGAGTAGGGACCTTCGAAGCCCCTCGAAGCTTCTCGATCATAGCGGGGTAGATACAAATCCAGACTCACTCCTAGATAACTTGACTCTCTATCGAATATAATCCTGTTATCAGGCATCGGCAACCTTTGCGCAGCCCCTTACCAGACTTGCCAAGCCAATCAAGCCGGTTTAGCCTAATGTAGTAACTTCCTAACCTACAACGGCTAGTGAATTACTATATTGGGCTAGACCGGCTTGATCGGCTTGATTGTTGGCAAGTCTGCCCCTTACACACAAGCTTTGGATGCCGTTTTCCTAATTCACGCTATCGCGAGTTTACCTATTGAGCATGCTTCATCGACTTAGTATATGATGTTTTGCGATTTAGCTTTTATTACAAATGACACGAACATAGCGCGATTTGACATTGTGGATGTGTCCCGTTTCGTTGTATTGCTATACATCCCTGCAATGCACATCAACCCCCCTATCCTCAACGACGATCACCTTTCATTTACATTATTGCAGCTTTAGATTGTTATGGCCGCGACGTGGACGAATAAATCCCGGGTGTATTAGGGTTCCTGCCACGCGTGTGGAACCTATAAAGAAGCCATGCACGTCTTGCTTCCACTTCTGATTCAAGGCAAACTAACGCAATGGCATTAAATCTGCTCTCTTTTGTAGCCATCGAACGCGTAATCGTTGGCTGTACGAAGCGGCTGGGGTAGTGGGAGCAGCCGATGGTCGGTTGCTATGTCCAAGCAAATCAAAGGCCGAGTCTGTTCTGCCATGATAGTCTTTTTTCGACCCTGGTGCGCTTCGATGGCAGTTGCTAGTAAGTCCAGAGTCACAAGATCGATCTACCATAGCTTGTTGCTCCGTTCAACGCTGTGCAGTAGAGATTGTATTGTTCAAATTCATTAAACAAAAAGACTTGCCCCTTCGTCACTTTCGTGGCCACAAATTTCGAGTTCCACCCTCTTTCTTGTTCGTGACCATGGTACATGATCGTGACCAGTGACAGGCACCAATCGAGATTTGATCCAATGACTCACAGGCGAACGAAGCCGGGAGATGATCAACCTGCAGTCATCTTGTGAACAGTAAAGGCACGATTGCTGCACCGACGAATCCCACCCTGTCGTCGCACGAAAAGTTGCACTCCTTCGTTTCGACTTAAGGCACAGGCTCGTTCTACTTTAAGAGAGTAATGATAGAGTAATGCGAAAGTCATCCAGGAGAATCGTCGTCGACGTTCACGGTACAGTCGTGTCCCATCAACTCGTCCCTGACAGGTACTAATCTGAACGAGTGCGTAGTTCTGTAGGGCGAGCAGAGCGTGGGTGTTGGTCGAAGCCGTCCATCTGCTGAGCCGACTGATTGACACACATGCCCTCCAGGCTATTCTTATGTGGCGCCTTGCTTAACGGCACTTTGTTCTTGTTGCTGAGCGCAGGATTTTCGCATTCCGTCTAATGAGAATCTTTAGCGTTGTAAGTCAGCGATGCAAAGTGAATGAAAACACAATGGTGCCGCATTTGTCAACTTCAACCCTCAACATTCTCGTCCGTCCGCAGCCGCTTGTTGGACCGTTTGATTGGTTCGAACTCATTGCGATTCGACGAGGGCGATGGAATCTGATTGAATGGAAGCACGGAGAAGCCGACGGCCTTGGTGGTCTTGAACTTCCGCTTGAGAAACTCGGTGCAGAAAGAAGGAAATGCATCTTTCAGCGAGCGCAGCCGGCTGTCTAGCGCACACTCGATGTGGTTCCACAGCAGTGCCCGCGCTTCGAGAAGGTGCTTCTCATTACGCAAGGTGCAGTCGAAGATGCTCTGCATGTAGTATGTTGCAGCACCAGCAGCGCCCAGCTCGCACCAGTGCAGCCAGATGTTGAGCGCCTGGATATCGCAGGTAAAAGAGACGTGCGCGCATTCGAGCGCTGTCGCGGGCAGGCCGTGGGCGATGCGGTAGAACTCGTCGAGGTAGCGGACGATCGCAGCGCCATCGCGGGCGCTCTGGTAGTGGGCAATCATGTGCGATTCGTCGGTAGCGGGCTTCCATTGGGAACTTAGAAAAGGGAAGACGAGAATGGGGTTGAGCGCAAAGTCAGCAAGCGCAATTTCTTCGTCGGGCGTGAAGGCGGTCTGCAGTGTGAGCTCGAAGGCCTGCGAAGTGGACAGATATCCGATGATGGCATCAGCCTGTAGCGTGCTCCTTGCAGACCAGCGCCTGATGTCTCGGGAGATAAAGTATCACGTATGCAAAGACGTAGAAGCGGAGGCAACAGCGCGATGCAGTAACAGGTTCTTGGCGAGTTTTGTATAAGTCGTTTGTGAGGAGTAGCGTTGCTTGCTGGGGTGATCGGGGGTCATGATAAGCCCTCATACCAGGTCCGATTCCGTCGCGGAAACCTAACGCGATACCCTTTTGGGCGATGATTGGACTGGAACACGAGCGTTCGCTGAAGGGTAGGACAAATCTCATTGCGATCCACAGTGTTAAATCGTGCTATACCCGTGTTGTTCAAAATATGCACCAATTCGCGAAGCATCATATACTAGGCGTAGCGCAATGCCAAGCGCCCGGGCCTCGAGAACCGGGGCTTGAAGACCGGCCTCGCCACCCGGCGCTGAACACTAAGCTCCTCCTTTCCCCTCTCCATCTCCATCCTTATTTATTCATCTCTATCTCCTCCACTTCGGTTTCCGTCCGTATCTCTATCTATCATCCGAACTCTATCCCCTCGTACGCGCACGCGATCGCCGTCAACCGTCAACCGTCAACCGTCAACCGCTGAACCGCCCTCACTGCCTGCCTGGCGCCTTGCCCCAGTACGCCATCCTTACTGCAAGGCCTTTGACACGGCGGGTTGGATTCGCGGTCTACGCGTTTTCGATTCGCGCATCTTCGGGGCGATACTCAAGCAAGGCACAGGCAGTGTGAAGGAGGCGGGCTTAGCGGTCCACGATTTGGCCGGTTGCTGCGACAGAGTCAGGGCTGCTCTTTGCGCCCGACGCGAAAGCCCGGGTGGGTGGGTTTCCTTTGCCGCTGCATCTCGCCTGCTTCGTTGCAAAGGGGTATGTAATGTTAAGTAAACATCTGCTGTAGAGAGAACTAATGAACAATGGTACTTAGCCTCGTTCGCAAGGAAGGTGTCCCCGCATTGGCGTATTCTGTAAACGATGTATCTGTACTGTGGCCGTGTTCTCTCAAGATCCTGCATTCGGACGCGCAGTTTGTGGTGTCACTCGGACACTCTATTTCAATCCATGGCTTTGACGACAAGCAACTCTTTACACTTTGCTATGAAGGTGACAATCTTATACCCGGCAAGACCTCGCTTGGGGATGTTGATATTTCTCTCCCGGATGGATCGTTACACATCATCGCACGGCATGGGCAACCCCGGCTCCGAACGCTGTCGCTGGCGCTCAAAGCACCCTGTTCTGTATGGTGCCCTCACAGTTTTGGCAATGAGGTGTCCGGCCTTCACACTGGTTTCCACGAGCTCTTAACACTGGCCAGGGCGACAGAAGTACGCATTTTGTTCGACACTAATTGGCTTGGGAAGTACAACCTCGCCAGGCTTCGGAGCGCTGTCGAGGGTTCCCGGCAACTCACTGGGGTTCCGGTCATCCCGCAGTTCACCCATTTATATCAGCAGGCAGACTGGTCAATTCTCAACTCTATCCAGGATGCCAAGTCTGGAGCTTATCTTCCCATTGGAGACCTGAGGTCTGAAGCTGTACCTTCCATCGAGGACGCAGTAGCTGGGGCTCCTCCTATCGAAGACGCTGTACATGACGCCCCGCCTTCATATGCGCATGTGTCGAGCAAGCGCTCGAGAAATGGTAAGTCTTCTAGTCGGACACAGCACCGACATATTGCTAACGCATATTCCCTAGCTCGCACTAGCTTGACACCCGACTCTCCTGTACCGAAGCGCCTCCTCCAAGATCCTACATGCGTGCCCTCGCCAACAGAACGCGCCACTTCCGTATCGTCACTTAGCTCAAAGTTCAAACCTTCGTCCACCGCCACCGTGCAAGTGGACGTTTTCCTAGACGTCGTCACATCCGCCGTCCAGAAAGTGCTCCCGGATTTGCTGCGCGAACAACTTCCCAGCATTCTGCAAGACCTTCTTCCGGGAATGCTTACTGACCCCTCACCGTCGCCATCTTTGTCGCCAACACCACGTTCCAGCCAGGGCGCTAATGCGCTCACGCAGCACCGTCGAACCCCGAGCCATAAACCCACGCCTGCGGCAGTAATCAGAACTGTTATAAGCACCGCTACCAAGACCCACCTTCAAAGATTCTTGACTGATGCCCTCGATCAAGCCTCCGAGCAAGTCTCTGAACTTCATAACTCTGCTAGCGTTGAGTTCGAGGAACACCTTGATGACACCAGGCTTGATTTCGCCACGCTCAAAGAGGACCACATCGCCGTCTTCAATGACGATTGTAATGAGAAGTTGGTGGAGTTCAAAGAGCGTCTAGTAGAGAAGAAAGATGAGGCAGAAGTGGAGGTGAAGGCACACGCTGACGAGGTAGTGGCCAAGGCTTGGGATAGGTTGAACATGGTGGATAAGGGGTGGTGTAGGCGTAAATGCCTTGCTGGTGCGAAGGACAAGCAGAGCAAGTTGGAACAAGGGCGGAGGGCGATGTCTCTGCCTCTTTGAAAGTGGAAGGAGAGAAATTACAGATGAGAATGGATTGGAATGGCATCGAGTTTTTGACGGATGGTTTATGGTATTCGATATTCTCATGATCTACAAGTAGCAATATCAAGCACTAAACCCTATCGTTGGATCCATCTCTCATCTTGACCACTCGTCCTTGCTGGGCGGCTCATGATGCGCACATCTCGCGCTGGAATCAGGTCCGCTCTCGAAGCTATTGGACTGAATGCATCACATCGCAATCCAAACATGGGCCCAACGGTAAACCACGAGTACTAATCTACAATGGCTTCAGATGAAACCCTGAAGTGAGAGCAAGTGTGATGATGTTCTATCTATGCCTCAGGCTCTATATATATATAGTCAACTGGTGTGCCGTCGCACCATTGTATGAGGAGGTTGTCACACCAGTGTTTGGTTATGCATGTCACGTGATCTGGAATCCAACTGCTTCGGAACTCACGAGACACTAGGTATCCTGCATATTTATTCCTCGTCAAAGAAACATCATTGCTTGGTGCATCGATTATTGTCGCACGGTTGGGTGCGGTGTTGCAAGTACGAGAAATTATGAAGTGTGTATATCTTGTATTGTTCTAGCATCATAGCTCAGCTTATATGGAGGTCATCGCACGGCGTTATTAGTTATAAGGTTCATGTTCCCGACAGCGCTTGGCCTGCGACAACAGGATATACGGGCAGCGACTGCATTCGTAGCCACGATAGAGCTTTAGGTCTGGAAGGGCCGGGTCCGTGGGCGACGGCAGCGGAATTTTACAGGTCCTGGGATTAAGTATGTCAAACTTTTCCTGGAGGCGCCTGGCAAGCGCGGTGGCTTGCTTTTGTGGTCTGGAATTGCTAAATTCAAGGCCGGCGTCGTGACAAGCCTCACGCGCGTGCTGTTTCTTGATGTGTTTGGCAAGATGCAGGGGTGGAATAGCGCAGGCACACGGCTTGCACACAAGCACTTGATATCGTGGATAAAAGACAAAAAAATCTATTGTCTTTACCAATGATAAGTATCAGAAGATATATGGGATAACGGCGTGAGGTTGATAGCAGATAAGCTAAGGAGAAGTGAGGAGGCTGAGGTGCTACACGAAAAGACGCGACTGAGGCGCCGTAGTCTAACGTGTTTTCGGGCCTATTATGCATCATATCTTTGCGTGCTCGCGTTCCTCAAGATCGGGATGTGATCATCAACGAAGGGCAGTGGTGAGTTTTGGTGAGGCGAGGAGAAGCAGGCATAGTGGAAGCGAGGTCGCTTCTGATTGGCCCACAAATAGGATGAAGGTTCGTCTATTGAAGTATAAATCTTAGAAGCCGCCTGCCTCTCCCCTGGCTGGGCGCGAGAAGCGACCAGCACCGTCTGCGCAGGCGTCGTCACCTAAGCGCGCTCGCACACAAGCAAGCCATCAGCCAGAGGAGCCGGCCAGCGAGGTGGAAGCGCAGCTAGATGCGCAGCCGGTGGAGGAGCAGCGCGTTCTCACCACAGTCACTAACTGTCACGATGTTCCAATACCACAGGTTCCAGCCACCGTCGGCCCTCACCAGCCACGATCACGTGACGTAGGTATATATCATCCCTCTAGGAGTCTTGATAGCTCCTCAAGGATTCGTCTCAATACAAGCCTATACCAATATCTCAGTGCCTGCCCAAATACTCCTCACAGGAAGCTCGCGATCGCCAGCATCAAAGGGATCACGACGATCAACAGCTACAACTCCAAAAAGCTGAGGCAATCAAGCTGCGTAAAGAGGCAAAGGTAATTAAGGCAAATGAGATTGAAGCAAGGCGTAAGGCTCGTGCAGAGGCTCGTATAGTGCGCGCTCAGCAGAAGGCTGATGAGGCTGCCGATCAAGCCGCCTGATAAGCAGCTCAAAAGACTCAACAATGACTCCAACAAGCTCTCAAAACTTCTCAAAAGTGTAAGAGGAGCAGCCTCAAAGCCTCCACGAAGCCAGCTCTAAAAAAGAGAGTTGCTGGCGATCGTGGTGGCCGTGATGAGCCACCTGATCAAAAGTCAGGCCTCCCACCTCCGCGATCGCGTCGCGGCCGACCAATCAAGTTAACAGCCAAATATAAGTAGACAAATATATCCAATACGACGTCTAGATCACTAATCCAAAAAAGATCGGGATAATAGCTATTTGGTGAGGCTCTACAGCCTCATTTGTAGTGGTGGTTTTTGTGTTCGGGTGGCTCGGACAGCCATCACGCACAGTACACATCATTCCGCCATGAAAATTCATCACTGTCCTCAAATCGACACCCTTCCTGCCACGCTACTCCAAAACTCACATCTCCTTCCCCTTCCACCCTCCCATGTATACGCATTCACAGCATCAAAATCATTCTGCAACCCGGGGTCGCTAAACTGGGTCACAGTAGCTCCAAACTGCGTGGTCACCTCATACGGCGTTCCACCTGTGGTATTCAAGCTGACCATCTTGGCAACCTGGCCCTCTTGCCAGGTGGGGAAGTTCTTAAGGACGGGGTCTGCGGGCACGGAGGGGTTTCCAGTCTTGATGAAGTTGCCCCAGATTTGGCGGAAAGCAAGAGCGAAAGAGGGCGATTGGTTGGCCGTAGCGGGGCCGAAGTAACCCGGTATGTCATCAGTATGACTCGCGAACGGCACACTGTATTGGTAGTGGTACGAGGTGCGTGAGGAGCCAGAGTAGGCGTTGTTGAGCCAGTATGAGGGACAGATGAATGTTGCTTCAGCAAGTATGTTGTTGGCACGTTGCTGTTGGCCGGTTGCGATCTGGCTGACGTTAACCGCCGTCGCGGGGCCAAGACCGTTAGTTGCAAATTCGAGATCTGAAGGATTGACAGGCCCGTCGGTGCTTGGGTATGCATCGAGCACATGTTGGATATCGTCTGTTGTAAAGGTCGGGAATTCCTGGCGCAGCCATGCTTTAAGATCGTCGAGCGTGGCAATAATGGGTGGCACGAACAAAGCTCCTTCGTTCGCGTTGTTGCCGACAAGGATGTTCTTGCCATTGACACGCTTCTGCTGGAGCGCAATACTGGGACGAGACGTAATAGCGGTGAAATCGGTGACAGGGAGAAATGCCCAGGTGCCGTAGACACTCGCTGACGTGACAGCAACATTTGCCTGCTGTAGGGTCGTCGAGTCCTTGTTCCTCAGGCAGGCGACCACGTCGGAGGAACCTGCACATCCGGCCTGTGAGGCAAAGTCCTGGTACCGTTGCGTCGGAAATGTGGCGTTATAGTCATATTGAGCCGGGAGATATGGCGATGCTGCGATACTCTTTCTCTTCAGTTAGAAGAACTTGTCTACCAAATGGCGTCGCGCACACTCACATTCTGGAACAGGGAAGTTCCAAGACTACCGTTCTTCGCAATACCAAGAAGGAGCACGCCTCCAGCACCAGCAGACTCGCCCGAGACCGTGACTTTCGCGGGATCGCCTCCAAACTTTGTGATGTACTTCTGCACCCACCCAAGTGCGAAGGCCATGTCCAAAATACCAGCATTGACGACGCCCTTTGACTTGACCTCGCTCGACGAGAGGAATCCAAATGCACCCAGCTGCGACATGTTAGCTAAACGACCTCACATCACCAGTACCCAGCTTACTCTATACTGAATCGTAACAGCAACGAACCCATTCCTGTTGGCTGCAATGATCTCGCTCATATCCTGCATCCCATCTCCGAACCCATAACCGCCACCGTGTATCCACACAAGTACAGGAAGAGTCTTCGCGTCTGACGGCGCATATACATTCAGAAATAAGCAATCCTCGTTTCCGGGGATGAAGGGCGCGTTAGGTACTGCAGGATACGCCTGAGGACATGCTGGAGCGAAGGTCGTCGCATTATAGATGGTATCCACCTTTGCTGGTCCCTGGGGCGCTTTCCAGCGAAGGCTACCAGTCGGAGGCGCTGCATATCGGATCCTAAAGATGATCGTGTGTCAGAGACCGAATTGAGGGAGAAGTGGTGGAGCTCCCAAGCGGGAAGTCATCATACCCCTTCCAGATACGGAGGCTTGTTGCAGAGTTTTGGTAGCCTTTGTAAGAGGCATAACCGAGATCTACGGTCAAGCCGAGGGATCGTGTGATGAAACTCGCATCATTCGTCGGCGCCGCTGTCGCACCACTCAGGATGAAAGCGCAGGTCGCGAAAGTCTTAAAAAGCGCGCCCATTTTGTTCTACAAAGGCTCAAGAGCGTCTTAGATTACCTGCAAGATATATGTACAGCCGGTTCATGGCGTCCGGACCCAAGATCGGGGTTATTGCCATTATGCGGCAAAACGAGATGCATCAATATTGCAGCGTATCCACCTGTGCGGGCCACGCCACTCGATCGTGCCGTGCCGTGTGAAGGTCCGATTCCATAGTAAGGGTCTTTGACTTCCCTGCAAAAGGAGAGCGTAAGCCATGAGTAATTTTATTGTGCCGCAATAGCATGAATCGACAACATTAGGTAAAGACGAAGTGATCTATTCTCAACCTCCAAAAAGTAGTAACAGAATCGATGGTGTGCGTTAAGACAGAATAGCTCACCTTGTTGGTAGTTGTCCCAGTGGTAGCTGTCGGTCACGAGCGTTGAGTGGACTCATACAAATAGCTCAAGACCGAACACAGGGTAGCTTTACGGTAGGGGAGGACAGCAGATGTGTTTTGCCTGCTCGCTAATGCCAGGCCAGGGGGATAGTAAGGATAAGCTATCGAAACTTTACCCGCTGCAGGGGCTCCTCCATGCAGCATGGGGTAAGTGTGGCGAGCTGCACGATTCGCGCTACTGATATCGCTTCGCTCTAGACCGAAATTCTTGTCGACAAACCCTACGAAATAACCGGTGGTGGCTTTTGCTCGAGGTCCTGAGAATATTTGTGAGTCTCGGTTTTTAGAGGTACAAACTCCATAGTACGAAGATACCAACCAGGAAGTGAAGAAAGTTGCATCAATTAGTGGAAGTCGTAATTAGTGTCGTACCATAACATTACAAGATATAGATACAAGGTGCCTCTCACTCTCACTCTCGCTATCCCTCCCATTTCCCTTAAAATGTCGCTCGAAATCATGTTGGACATAGATGGCCTTTCTGCCAGGGCCATAGCTCACTGCAGGCAAGGCGGTGATCGGTGGAGTGTCGCCCAACTCGAAGTCTTCCATCGCAGTCGAGGGGGGGATTTTGTTGCTGAGTTCCACAAACTTTCCACTCTTGTTCTGTTTCGTACCGGAATTGGGACCATATCCCCAACTGCCATTTCGTGTAGAGAAGGCTGGAATGACTTTAACGACGAGCAGCTTGAGAGCAGGAGTAGAAGCACAAACTATTGCGAGATTGACTTCGATGGTGGACCAATATGCGGTGGCGGTGCTGTACCAGGTCGTATCCTCTGGATGTTGAGCCAGAACAACCAAGGCGTGCAGGCGAAGGATTGAGACAATACAGACGAACCAACCGAGGGTCAGGATGATCGTTACCGCGATCTTCTGCATCTTTGGTATCTGCAAATCCCAAATGGCCTTCACGGGTAAGACAGCAACGAGCAAATCGGTCACGATGTTCAAGCTGGCATTGGCGTAATATAACCTGGAAGACGTTAACGATGTTCTCATGTCCTATTTGACGAAGAATGGAGTCAAGGCACCTTCAGATGCAGGTTTCCACGAAGGTACTTGGTGTATATGGGTGCAAACTCACGCATTCTCGTTCAGACACCTGGCAGTTGGTTTTTTCGTCACTTCCCAGAATGCATCCACAGGAATGCAAGAAAAGATACCAGTAGTGACTGATTCAATGCCATATGCGACGCAGATACCGAAAACGACATAGATCGGAATCTGCATTTCGCGCAATGTGAAAATGCGGCGGTATTGAAGCAGAATAGAGATCTTAGTCAAAGTCAAGCTGATGCAGTAAGCTAAAATGCTGAAGTAGAGATACTAGACTGGTGAGCTATGCTACTTGGCGTCTGAGATATTACTTACCTTCAGGATATTGACCGCGGCGACTAAGTCGAGGAACATCATATGCTTTCCACTCCCCCATTGGACCTCTGATACGAGTTAGCAATCAACGAATCAAAGGTATGCGGTTGTGGACTTACGGTATACTTGGCACACAGCCATGGCGATCGAAAAGCACTAGAGGGACGTCAGATCAAGCATCTCAAGATAGAAGGACCTCCAATTAAAAAGGGCTTGTGTTGCAGAAGCCCTCGCCAAGCATAATCTAAGATTCTTGGTGCAATGTATGACTTACCATCGATAGCGCAATAGAATAATCCTCCCATCCAACATTGTGTTGGAACGTAATACGTGTAAAGAAGCGAAGGCAGACGCAGATGAACGAAATGGTCGTGAAGGCGATGACAATAGCTTTGGTTGCAGGACCTTGATTCTCTTGGGCCAGCTTGGCCAGTTGCGCAGGCGGAAGTTGATCCATGACAAAATGATGCTGCAAGATGAATCACGGACGCAATACACTGTATAGTGTCTGAAGTTGGTAGCATACAGGTCAAGGAGCGGGACCCTTATTATAAGTTTCAGGTGACATCAACTCAACGGATTGTGGAGTAGTAGCCGTTTGACGGCATAATCTGGCAGGCATAGTCTGTGGTGAAAGTTTGGGAACCATAAGGTTCTCCCGCGGCAATGATTCCAGGCGCATATACGAACAAAATGAAGACAAGCACGCCTGACGAGGTCACTACAGCGTGACTAGGCGAGGAGGGAATAGGAGGAGCCAATTAGAAAGATAGTTATCACATTACCATTCGGAAATAAAGTTCACATGGCTTGCTCCTGCGAGGAACACGCATCAAGCCACACGTGGCCGGTTAAATTGATATTGCAGGTTCTTGCCATAGTACTCCTTGGTTTTGGTCTCAAGATGACACAGCCAGGGTCGATTTTGTTTTACACTTTACGGTGTCAGCCATGAACAGCAATTTTAGACGTGACTTGGCTGCGTGAACCTAGAGTTGATCTTGAGAGAGACAGTTGTATTGGCCCGGGTAAAAGAGTCCACTACGGATATAACTGACTCGCTGATGGCTAGCAGTTCGGTAAGGTGGGGGTCTGCCTGCCCGGAGCCTGCCACTGCCTTTGAGGCGTTGTATTTGTGAAGATGGCAATTCCCGTTCATGCGTTGCGCACAGATTCATTTACATAGATATCACCTGTTCAGGTTGTTGGTCGTGGATGATGGCCGCATCCAATGGTGCGATGGCCCGGGCTTGTGGATCGATACCGGTACCCCGAACGCGAATCCGGGCCTCCACATCCCGCGATTGATCGCGCGACCATGCGGAAGCCCTTGATGATCAGCGACGCATAATCCGCTACTGCGCGCTCCTCGTCAGCTCCTCTAACCGTCGTCAGGGCCAATCCCTTCCGCCTGCGCAACGCCAGCGTCACCTTTGTAGCCTTTCTTGCTTTATCGGCGAGGTGCGTCTAAGACGGCAGCTCTAGTCCGACACCGCCCCAAGAACCCTAACCTTGTCTGTCAGCAGGATCTCTTTCCCTTTTGACTTAGAGTAGCACGGTGCTGTCTTTCCTTGCGTCCCTGTGTCGAGTGAGGCGGATATACGACTTCACCGCCTCGATCCCCGCCTACTAAGTCCGTTCCTCCGTCCTCAGCATCAGCATCACCTCGTTCTGGATTCTCCTTCAACGTCACTTGGCCGATATACCGCTAAGAATACGAAAGGCCTCAGCCTGCCCGACAGCAACCGACAAGGCTCCGCTATCACACCTAGCATGGAAAATAACTACCATATGGTCAAGCAGCATTCCAGCACAGTGTGGTCAATAAACCGACCGACTCAAACCGGAGGCTTTGGTCGGTCGGTTTAATTGAATAGGTAGGCTTCGTCGGTCGGTTTGAGTCGGTTTGATAGAACGTCGCCCGTCGGTTTGAGTTTGATCAGGTTTAACGACTCAACTTAAAGAAGTTAGCGGATTGCCTAAAAAGGTGACTATTTAGAGCGTCCTAAGTTTGTATTACATTAGCACCTGTACATTAAGTCTACTACGATACTAAGCCGTTCCTAAGCCAGTGTTTCTGAAGCTGGTGCGCTTTAATAGTCTCGGGTGATAGTGTGATGGGCTGGAGCCCAGTTGGTGAGTCCTCGATGATATCTCGGTCACGTGCGCGAGGCGCACTGTCCACAGATTCCGGGTGCCCCCCTGAGCACCCGGATTCTGTGCAAGCGAGCCCGGCGGAAGGTTATCCCGAGCCGCCGCCCCCTGAACGACCTTCAGAACCCTAGCTACCTGTAGTTCTCTTCTCTATCGAATACAACTCCAGTATACCTGTGCGATAGCTCCCCGAGCGTAGCCCCTTACAAGCCTCTCCTTAGCTACTACTTACTACGAGGTTTAGAGCTAAGGAGTAAAAGGCTACGTCTTACTACGAAGGCGCAAACTACTAGACCTTCTACGGTCTAGTACGCCTTCGCTTCGCTTCTCTCTCTAGGCTATATAAGTACGCGTACGCTCTGCCTCTTCTAGGCTCTGCGTCTGCTATTTACTCTACTCCGAATACAAGCTTCTACTCAACCAGTTCGCTCTTCTGCGCGTGATGTCTGCCTTACATTTTCGTAGTAGAAATGATCTACGCATTGTTAAAGCATAGTTGTAAGGGGCTACGCCTAAGTACCACAAGAGGCTACGCCGAAGAACTTCCCGCTTATCTATCTTTGTATCAGCGTACGGAGGATAAATACCGTACGAGGAGGACGCTACTCTTCTTTTTCTTATCCTTCTTCTTCTGTACATAGGAGCAAATGCATACTCCTTAGCAGGCCTCTTTCCGCCCATAACAATAGTGTCGCAGGCCAAGCGCTGTCGGGAACATGAACCTTATTACTAATAACGCCGTGCGATGACCTCCATATAAGCTGAGCTATGATGCTAGAACAATACAAGACATACACACTTCATAATTTCTCGTATTTGCAACACCGCACCCAACCGTGCGACACATAGTCTTTCTATCTACTTATACTTGCGAGATCATTTTTAGCTAATTCTGAGTAAAATCATATGTATACATAGATGTCGCACGGTTGGGTGCGGTGTTGCAAGTACGGGAAATCATGAAGAGTGTGTAAGTTATTGTATTGTTCTTGCATCATAGCTCAGCTTATATTCAGGCCCTCGCACGGCATGCTTAGTAACAGAGTTTAGGTTCACGAAAGCGCTTAGCATGCGACACACCCCCTCAGAGCTCATTCAGTCTCAGATGAGGTCTGATTGTCATCAGAGTTTGCCTCTTCGTGTCGATGCGCTAGATCAATCCGCGATGAGATATCAATTAGGCCTAAATGACGTACGAATTGAGAGTGCTTTTCTGCTGAGAGTGGTTTAGTGAAGCTATCCGAAGGCATTTCAGTCGTTAGAACCCATTGAACTGTGACTTTGCCGTCTCTGTAGACCTGCCTCAGCTATAGGCTATGGATGTCGACGTGCTTTAGCTTTAATAACGTCTGAGGTCTATCCTTCTGGATCAGACCTGTCGTCTGCTGGTTGTTACAGAGTATGCGAGGTTAATGCTCAAGATCGAACTGTATCTGCTTGAACAGCCGGTATAGACCTATTGTCTCCTTCGCTGTGTGTAACAGCGAGAGTAGCTCAGCTTCAGTTGTTGACGTAGTTACAGTCTTCTGTTTAGACGACTGCCACATTATCAGTCCCTTGAACAGCTTCATAAGATAGCCCTGCGTGGATCTTCAAGTCTCTAGATTATCTGCGAACGATGCGTCGCTTGACAGCTGAAGTACCTCTTCATCGCGTGTCTCTACTTCAGTAGTATTTTCCACTAAGCCTAAGGACTCGATAGCATAGTACTTCGTGGCCTGGAGATATGCGAGAACTCGGTTCGCGTAACGCAAATGCTCTAGTGAAGGGTTCATAGTGAACTGACTTAACTAGCTAGCTGCAAAAGACACATCGGGTCGTAATACGACTGCTGCGTACAGGATCGAGCCTACCTTTTCTTACATCTCTGTGATCTGATAAAGTGTTGCTTGCCCTTCGTATTGTTAAGGACGATATGACGAGTGGAGAGGCGTTGTAGCCGTTCTTCCAGAGTCGTCTATGCCAAACTTAGTACAGATCTTCTTAATGTACCCGTGTTGGCTAATCTAGAGCTTCTTTTCTCTGGTGTTGCGGAGGATGCTGATGTTAAGGAAGGAGATTGCCTCGCTCAAATCCTTGATCCCGTATCTGCTGTTCAGTTTTAGCTTGAAGTCTTTAATAGAGTAGATACTTTCTAGTTGTGCGATAACAAGCATATCATCCACATAGAGAAACAGGATAAGTCCTGTTTAGTTGTTGATGAGGATACATAGTTCATCTAGGCAATAATTAAATCCTAGATCTTTAAGGAACGAAACGAGTTCGTTAAACCAGAGTTTTGGTGATTTACGCAGGCCATACAGCGCCTTTTGCAGCTTCCAGACTTTCCCTAACTAGCGGTATCCAGGTAGACAGGTAGTATATATTTCCTCGTCCATGTCTACATTGATGAAGGCGTTCTTAAAGTCGATTTGATGACAAAGAAGCCCAAATGCGCAGACAAGAGCCATTAGGATACGAAAGCTGCGATATGCGCCAGTCGCTGCATATATGTCATCGGTGACCTGATGTTGTAGATCGCCTCTTACGCAGATCCGCGCTTTGTGACGAACGAGGTAGCCAGCGTCGTCAAACTTGTATGTAAACACCCATTTAAGTAGTAGTACTTGCTTACTATCTAGATAGTCCACTAGTTTAAACGTTTTCTTCTCTTCAAGCGATGCAAGTTCAGCGTCTGCAGCATGCCAGAATCCCTTGCCTTTAGGATGTCGCTTTAGCTAGTGCTAGAAGTCTAGTAGCAGCAATAGGTCTTTCCGGTGTATGCGAATAGACTGTGCTGTTGCAAAAGCGTAAGCCACTTGCTGACCAAGTCTAGCACGCTCTAGTCGAAGAGCATAAGCTTCGCGTCTTGCTCTCTTTTCTATATATCGTTGCGTAGCATGTGTGTAGGAGGAATTAACAGCGTCTTGCCCTCTTTGCAACAGTTAGATATTTCTTCTAGTACTAGTGCGCAAGTTTTAGAGAGCAGTTGCGTCGGTATTAGTGTCTCTCCCTGTTCTAGGTAATTCTTGTGTAGTGCTTATTTAGCGTAGAGCTAATACAAAAGATACTAGAGTAGGGTAGGGCCATCGTACAGATGCGCCTCTCGATATATCTTGTGTAGACTTCTCCCGTAGAGATGCTACTTCTCTTAATCCTGTAGGCAATATCTCTTAATTTTGCGATTTAGCTAACGCTTCTACTAGCTCAACAGCATCACTTCTATTAAGAAGCGCGTCCTCATCTAACTCGTTCATGTCGATGTCATTAAGTACAGTAGATAGTGACTAATCACGTTTAAGAGAAGCTGTAGATTGTCGCGGG